GAGCTTTCATTCATTTTCATTCTCGGAGCCTGCTGCAAACAGTTTTCAGATGCCTCTAGTCAATACCACTGGCTTTTACCTACAACTGATTGCGGATTACCAGTTTTCCAGTGTTATTATTACAGAAAACTGGATATGGTAACAAACTTTTTTAAGATGAGTATTGTTGTCACACAGAAATAAATAAGTGTACAATATTCTTCTCAATAAACACAGATCTTATATTCCTACTCAAAAGCTTTTTGCAGATGGAAGATGCCAGCAGAATGCACATATCTGTTCCCAAAGTAATGGCAATCTTCCGCCCACCCACTCAAACGATAACTTATAACAAAGTTATCCATGCATATCTTAGAGATAATATGCATTTGTAGTCCTAGAAACCAGTGTAGCTGTCATCTGAACTGATGACGACCAGTGGTGTCCGTCAAGGATGCCCATTATCCCCTTTTTTATTCAACTTCATCATAGATGTGTTAATGGACTTAACCCTAAGTGACTTCAGCGACTCAGGGATTGACTTGTTACCAGGGAATAATCTCGTTGACTTGGAATATGCAGACGATATAGTCCTTCTAGGCGAAGACGCTGACAAAATGCAGAGTCTTCTAAACACCTTGAGCCTCAATCTACGAATGTTTGGCATGCGATTCTCTCCCGCCAAATGCAAGATGATGTTACAGGACTGGACTACATCGACGCCTAGTTTAAAAATAGGAAGTGAAGTGGTAGAGCACGTTGACCGCTTCACTTATTTGGGAAGTACCATCAGCCAGTGCCAACGGGTTGATCTCTGACGAAATCTCAGCACGAATACAGGGGGCTCGTTTCGCATTTGTTAGTTTACGCCGACTCTGGCGTAGACGAGATGTTCGACTATCGACCAAAGGGCGGGTGTACTGTTCATCAGTCCGCTCCGTCCTCCTTTATGGTTGTGAGACCTGGCCACTGAGAGTGGAAGACATGAAAAGACTAGCTGCCTTTGATCATAGGTGCCTGCGTTCTATTTCCCGTGTAAAGTGGCATAATGAGGTGAGCAACATTGAGGTTAGGCGTAGAGTTCCAGGTAAACAGGGGAAATCAATCGACGAAGTCGTGAAGCTACAAAGACTGAGATGGTTAGGACATGTGTTACGTATGCCAAGTCATCGCCTCCCTCCACGAGCAATGTTAGCGGATATAGAGTAAGGCTGGAAAAAAGCTAGCGGCGGTCAAACAAAAACTTGGCACCAGTCAATGAAATCCACAACAGTTGGCCTAAGCCACGTAGGAAGGTGTAGACTTCCAGGCTGGGGTCCTCGAGACGGTAAAAATCTATGGTTGGAAACAATTGGTGACATGGCTCAAAATCGTTCTCGATGGCGCAGATGCATCCACTCCTTGTGACTTATGATCTCCAATGAAACTGTTTTGTTCTTCGTTATTACTCCTTTGTCTCACACCTCTGCTCACTGTCTCTATTATGCTTTTCTTGTACTTTCTTCTCTTGCTTCGCGTGCTACACGGAGTGTGGCGACATGAACTTCCGCACATTTGTGCAAGGTTCTATGTCGAAAACAGACAGACAGTTTCACCTAGTTAGACTTAACACCAAATCTTACCTACAGATCGGACATTGAAAGAAGCAACATGAAGTTGGTATCATACATAAACTGTGTAATAGTATTAGCAGTCACACGAAGTCTAGAAGGTGAAGAGGGTAGGCGATAGACATGACTTTGTGAGCTCAACCAATTGTGTTGGCTGACGCTACCTCCAGGTTGTGTACATGATGTAAGTTTGTATCCTCCCTAAGTACAAAAAAGGAGAAAAAAGGTTTCGTCATGCGCAATCTTAATGATCGAAGAAAAAAGGCTTTTGTCCCGTCGCTCATGACCAATTCGGAAGTGGATTTTTAGAGCCTAATACGTAGAGATAACCTTGCTTCCTGTCACAGACGACGAAATGGTAGTAAGTTGCAATGTACAATTTCTGAACCGACCACTTCCAACACCCCTCATCTAAATCAATAAGACAACTTAATTAACTTACCTGTTATCGGGACGAAATGCCCTACAACTCACTTTCATCTAGTAGCGCGAAACAGATCTCAAATTAACACCAGGGATTAAATAATCTATAACCGTAAAAGATTTTAGGTTAACTGCTATCCAACCGACCTTTACGAGAGGTTGCAACCTGCAGGAAAATTCCAATTATCAAAGGTCGTTGCAAGCTCAACTAAAGCATCTACCGGTCCGGAGAGCAATTTCTTGGCCTATATTGAATGTTCACTGCATTTAAAACCCACAATTCACCAGTTGCAAGTTAAGCTTTCAGGTTGATAGAATAGATACTTGCTCAAATATCACATCAGTATTCAATAACTGATACGACATCTAGCTAACCTGCTAGGCGCAGATTAGTAGATAGCTTAAATGAAATTCCACCCATTTTTCCATGCAGCGTTTGCCATTCAATAACAAAAATCGATGTTAGTGGGCAGTATACAGAAAAAAAGAAGTAACCGATGACTCAGCTTAAATTGCACTAACATATAATACAGTCTGTTTCTCTGACTTTGTTAATAAATCCGATAGTTTTTTTGCTTAGGCCAATTTAACAGAACAGAAAAAACAGAAGTTAATTATTCTCTTGTAAACACAGTTCTTCATGTCACAGTATTCGAAAAAGTCACATTATTTACTAGATGACATTGCAATTCACTAATCGATTTGGTATATTGCAAGAAAATTATTGTACCCAAGCGATGTGATTCATGTTCGTGTGCATTTATCATGTTTTAATAGAACAGTCCTTGCGCACGCCAGAAAAACAGCTATGAAAAGTAATTACCCTCCACCTTCACCTAATGTTATAGTACTATCAGTGAATTTCATAACTACAGTAATAATGTGATTCAGCAGACATGTACAGTATAGTTTTGTTGACTAAGCGACTTAACTGACAAATTTTACTCACCAACAAAATGGAATTCCATACAGCTGACAGTAAGTCATACGTACAGTGCGGGGCCTAGTGATTCTACATAACTGCCCAAAACTGAGTAGGTGAAGAGGGTGTGAATCAGTGACCCATTGGTTGAAAATCAAGAGCCTAAAATAATGATTTGAAGCTCCAAGATAGCTATTACCTATCTATTCATATCTTAGTAGATGAGTAACGTACAAGCCAGTAGTCAAGTGGTTAAATCAATGTGACACAATCTTATACCTAAAATCGATCAAGAGAATATCACTATACATTTTAAACCATAGTCGTAAATAATAAACTAATAAAAAAGCCACTGTATCGGGTCCCAGTGACTTAATGGATTACGAGCTCGCCTTGTGGCCGGAGGGTCCTGGGTTCGAGCCCCAGTAGTTGCGTGCTACTGAATAGTCCCAAACTAGCCGCCCAGTACTTTCAGATTTTCTAATGGTTCTGTAACCGATGTCAGTTCATGACGAAATCTTGTAACCAGCTAAATCCCCGCAAATCAACACTGCAATAAACTTTTTGATCACAGAAGTTTAATAAGAAGAGTATAATGGTAGGTGAACCAGTATACTGAGTCACATTATCCCCATATTCAATATAAAGATTCAGTTATTAACTGCGCCTAATAGCTTGATGTTTATAAAACGTGTTTTCCGTGGCTGATTGGTGGGTCTTTATATATATATATATATATATATATATATATATATATATATATATATATATATATATATATGCTTATCCTAACCTGTCATTCACTCATTATGCATAAACACACTTAAGAAGTCAAATAAGAATAAAAGATCTGAAAACCACAAAGTAATGTGGTTCGTTCTCTTTGGTATACAAAATGAATGCACAGAATTTCTTGAAAATGTCGATTGTCAGACGTTGAGGAAGAGAACGCTATTTTCAAATCAAAATACCCACTTGATGTGCAGAAACAAAGTGGGGTGAATTCATAAACGTTGCTGACGCTAATTCTGTGGCAGTCCCTTGTAGTAGCAGCTAGCAGTCTATTTCCCTTTTGACAAACACGTGACAGCAATGAATTCTTTTGTCAGAGTGAAGTCTTTTTTCAACGATATTGTGCATATGCAACCTTACGTTGTCCTTCTTTTCTCATCGTTTTGATATTAGTTGATTATCTGACATACCAACGTTCATATCTTTGTAAATTGTGAAACATTTTCCATTCACTTATTGTATTGACACAGACTTTATTCATTTACAGAATATTCATATATCTGTTATTATTAAATGAAGAAACTATAGTTATTTTAATAACATCGACAAGATGATTAAGAGCATAACTCCATTATAGATAAGATTTTATTTTGATAAATCACACAGTGTTGTAAAGTTATATGAACTGACAGTTCAGTTCATATAACTGTACAACACTGTGTGATTTATCAAAATAAAATCTTATCTATAATGGAGTTATACTCCACCACAGTGCCCAAGTTTTATACTTATATGATTAAGAGCACATTAGAACCCTGTGATGAAATGAAAACACTCACTTAGCCAATCCATAGTGTTTATCTTTGAATCCTATACATGACATCGATTCCTTCAAGGTTTCAGATGCGCCTTGCTAGCGAATGCCGTCAACCCAGGTCCAGGACTTCCCACCAATCGCCTTCAACCATCTAACAGAAATCAAGTTCATTTAAATAGTTGTGACTCATGAAGATCAGCTGTTAATATCAACAGACACAACGCATATAATAAACATCGACTTCACAGTTTATCAATTCTTGCTGCAATTCTTATATCTCCGTTCATTTTACAAAATCCATCGAATGTAAGGAATCACCCTAATTTTCAGTTAATCTTGATAATGATAATGAGAGCCATTGAAGTTATTCCCTCAAAAAATGTAAGCTTGAAGAACATTTTTGACTCAACATTACCCACACTGATAACAAGTTCATAAAAACCTTCCTAACAAACCTTTTTTAATGACATAGCAAGAAACACATTTTCATCATAATAGAAATAATAAAAATCATTACCGTTACGAGACGAGTTTTGTCCACGGGATCCTCCACCATTTTCTAACTTCTCAAATCTATCATCATGACACCAATACGGTTTTGAACCACGTCCACGATGAAAATTATTTTGAAAATGCCCACGTGATGGACGCCCATATCCGCGAAAATTATATGAAAATCGACCTCCGACCTCTGTGAATCGTAATATGTACAGGAATAATTTTGATGTAAGAGGATGTAAGGGAGAAAACACCTCATTATATATATATATATATATATATATATATATATATATATATATATATATATATATATATATATTGCATGGAGGATTTAATCATGAGCTGACATCAGTTAGAGAACCACTGGAAAACCTGGGAGTACTGGACAGCCGTTTCGTCCTAGTTTGGGACTCCAATACTTAACCAATACTTAAAAATATATATATATTGAAAATGACACTATGGTCCCTAAACATAACAATGATGACATTAAGGGGTAGACCTTGGGGAAATTCCGAAAAATTTTATACAAAGGAGGGATCAGAAAGGAGCTTACGAACGAGTTTCAACAATGTTCTAGTCACAGTTACTCTTCAAAATACTTGGAAACAAACTTATTCGACTGAATGAACTCACAAAACACATGACACTATACAGCTTAGGCTATCAAATTTCTGTGACATCAAACATGTAGACAAATATGATCGATCCGGTTCAATCAGTATATATGAGCACAGGAAGTTTGTCTTCCTCCTCATTCCTCCCTTACATATTTTTTTATGCCCAAAACTTATCACCACTGGCCACATTGAACCACCTAGCACATGAGATTGAATTAGGGTGCTGGTGGTCGTAAACCGCTATTTTTTCATATCTCCCGATTTCCACAATCATACCTCATAGCTATAAAGCAGGACATTCTACATTGAGCCGACAAACATTATGCTTGCAACTTAAATGCCTCATGCCCGTCGGGAAACAATGGTCTTTAGCTCCTAAATTCTCCATATTTACGATAATACAGCGTAACTGTCGATTAATTTTTCCACAGAAAACGAACTACGTTTAGCTCAAACAAAGGTTAGTACATATTGAAAGCCTCCTGGAGACAGTTACCTCATTACGCGGAATTATTTTCTTAAATTCGTCAAAGCCAATTTATATGACGATACTAATCTCGCCTAATCATCACAATTACCATAGAAGACAACCCCAATGTAGCAGTTTATCACGTAATTAGCTAGATAAAACTTATTATTATAACCGTAATAGTTAATACTGATAATAATGTAATAGGCTCACCATGTAACCCGATTTCTCTGGCAGACTTTAGCGAAAGTGCTCCACGAAATGAATTTTCCACGCGCTGATGATCTAAATTCATGCGACCAATCACTGAACGATCTACACGTGGTCCATTAAGTGGTGTTTGTTTCACGGGATGACTCTTCATATCCAACCGGCGATTGTCATTTAGTTTCTTCTCTCGATTACGACTAGCTAGAACTGACGGTGGTGGATTGGCCAAAAACAGAGCACGTTGGATTTCATACTGAGTCATCAAATCGCGTTTGTATTGCTCTTGTTGTGCAGCTGTAGTGTGTGAGGCGTGCATAGGATGGCGATTATTGTGATGAACTGCTTCTTAATTAAAAACGAGCATTGGGTTAGGTCATGATAAATAGTGTATATCAGTTATATACTACATAAAACTGAAAACTTTCACGAGGACGGTGAAGGGAGAAAGAACTTAGCATCAGTTCAATAAAATGGAATAAAGAACATTCAAGATTATAACAGTTATGATAACTAACAAATTAATTTTTACTAGCCGATTTATTTGATGTGAAGATTTAATCAAGGGATAAATTTTATAACGAGCAGGCTTCATTTAGAAAACTAATGAAAACCTAGGAGTACTGAACAGCCGTCTCGTCCTTGTTTGAGGCTATTCATCAATACTCATCCATGGCTGAACAGTTTATTGCAGGAAAACATCAGTTGTACTTTGGGACGAAGTATGTTTTCTTCAGAGATTTACATAGCGTTTCCAGAGGGTTTCTTACTTACTTATTTTACTTTACTTCAGCTGTCTCCTACGGGAGGATGAGCCGGCTTCATGAACGTCTCGAATCATCGCTGCCCAGGCGCGGCGATCTGATGCAAGGTTTTGCGACAGGGTTATCCAATTCTTGTTCCACATACGGAGTCCGTAGACGGTTTGTAGCCCCAGGCACTCCATATCAGCCTTGACTGTACCAAGCCATGTTTTCAGCTGTCCACCCCTGCGACATCGCCAAGATGGAAATGGCGAGGGATTTAGAACTGATTTGACCAGATCGTCATCTGGTCGGCGCAGAACATGGCCAAACCACCGAAGGCGGCGTTGTTGGACCAGTACTGGAATTTGGTTGATGTTGTAGCAACGACGACGCACTTCTTCGTTGGAGAGTTTGTCCTGCCAACGAACATGCAGAATGTACCTGAGGCACCAATGGTCTACTACCTCGAGTCTGCGTAAATCTTCCGCGCGAAGAGGCCAGGTTTCACAGCCATACAGGAGAACGGGTCGTATGGAAGCTTGGTAGACCCGAATTTTAGTCCTGAGACTGATTTCTCTCTTGCTCCATAGAACGCTCCTCAGCTGTAGAAACGCATTCCGGGCGTTGGAGATTCGCGCATTCACTTCGTTTTTCGCTTGGCCGTTGGGGAGCATTATGGATCCCAGATATCTGAAGGATGGCACAATTTCAATAGGTGCTCCATTTAGGGATAAGATTTCATCATTGCTGGTGGATGTGTTCGAAAACATTTTGGTTTTGGAAGTGTTAATTTTCAAACCGATAGTAGGCGCGAGGTGGTTTATCTGGTCGAGCGCCTGTTGCATATCGGGGAAGTTTTCAGCTAACAGCACGACGTCGTCGGCGAATTCGAGGTCGGTTATGTGAATATCGGGCGAAAGTTGGACGCCGTGGTGCTCGGTTAGGGCGTGCCGCAAAATCCAATCAACTGTGAAATTGAACAGGATGGGGGATGCTGGACAACCTTGCCGGACACCGCTGGTTACCTCAAAAGTGCGAGACTCTTCACCGTTCACTCGGACTCGAGCTTTGGTGTTGGAGTAGTATGACCTGAGCAGGTTGATTAGCTTGGTCGGAACTCCGTCGAGCTCCATTAGATACCAGAGTGCTCCTCGATCAACTGAGTCGAATGCCGCTTGGAAGTCGATGAAGCAAGCAACCGTCGGCTGTTGGAATTTGTCCCTGTGTTCCAAAATTCTTCGCAGTGTGAATAATTGATCAACACAGCCTCTTCCAGGTCGAAATCCGGCTTGATTTGGCCTTGTTCGCACGTGGCGTTCGGCCGCGAAGCGGTTCAGGAGAATGGAAACAAAAACCTTAGCAGCGATATCAATCAGACTTATGCCTCGGTAGTTCTCGCATATTGACCTGTCTCCCTTTTTGTGGAACGGTAGCAGAACTGAGGTGCTCCAATCGGAAGGAATGGTTTCGGACTCCCAAATTGAGCAGAACAGCGAGTGCAGCGAATCGATTAGCGCTGGAGTGCAGGCCTTGTATATTTCTGGAGGTAGACCATCTTCGCCCGGAGCTTTTTTGTTTCTGAGTCTGTTAATTGTTTTAGCTATTTCGGTTGGAGTGGGTGGATCGCAGTCAACTACGTAGGGTGTTGGTAAGTGTCGTATCGGTCGATGAGACGGTTGACCAGCGTTGCGATTGAGTAGCTGCTTGAAATGTTCGGCCCATCGTTCCATCTTACCATTGGTGTCCGAAATAATTTCTCCTGATGCTGTGCGTAACACAGCATGACTGTTAAGGCGTTTGCCAGATGATAGGCGTATGAGGCGATAAAGTTTTCCGAAATCGCCTACATTTGATGCTGCTTCCATGTTAGTCGCCACGTTAGACCAATAGCGATTTCTGTCGTTCCTAGCAGACTGTGTAGCTTTGCGCCTGAGGGAGCGATAAACTGGAGACTTTGCTAGGCGAGCGTCTCTGGCTTGCGAGGATAGATGCATGGTGTGCTCTGAAATCCAGTCTTTCTGCTTCTTGGATGTGGTACCCAAATGCGACATTGAAGCTTTAGAGACTACTTCTTTGAAATGATTCCATCGTGTCTCAGGTGTATTAGAAGATGTGGATGTTGGTTCATCTGCGGCCTTAGTTCGGCCTGGATTTGTTTGGACAAGGCTTGTCGCTTTGTCGAACATTGAAGCGGGGCAACATTGATACGCTTCGGAGGTCGCGCCTTCTGGCGTGTTGTTAAACGAAGTTTGAATTTCGCCCTAACTAGAGTATGGTCTGATCCCCCTTTATTTCCGGCCTCTGCTCCACGATAGGATCGACAGTCTTCCACCGAGGAGATCCAGCGTGAGCGCACTAGGATGTAGTCGATCTGATGTGCAGTGCGACCGTCGTTCGAATACCAGGTGAGATGTTTTCTAGGGTGTTGAAATCGAGTGTTGGTGATATATAATCGATTGTAATCAGAAAAAGCTAAAAGTCTATCACCATTACGGCAGCGCTGATCGAGACCGTGTTTGCCTAGTATATGTTTTGTCGCGTCGTCTGAAGGGCCAGTGCGGGCGTTCCAATCGCCGGCTACTATGAGAACGTCACGCTTTGGGATTTTGTTGATTGCCTCTTGAAGATTGTCATAAAATTCGTCTTTGATACTTTCATCAGAGTCGAGGGTTGGGGCATAGACAGCGAGAACAGAAATGTCGAGCGGGGAACCCTTGAACCTAGCGACTGCAACTCTGGAGTTGACCGGTTCGAATGATATTAGGGCATTATTGGCTTTGTTACTGAGAGCAAATGCTACCCCATGTTGTCCCGAATTATTCTGGGGTCCACTATGAAGCAACCAGAATGAAGAATCTGTTCCAGGTACGGCTATTCGGCGGGAGCCATGATCGGGTAACCTCACTTCAGATAGACACGCTATGTCCACCTTGTAGTCGTATAAAGAACGCATGGTGATAGACTGGCTACCAGGATCCAACAGCGTCCTAACATTCCAGCAGCCAACAAATAGTTGGTTTCTAAGTGTTAATTTCCCAGCTGGCTTACTTTTCACACTGGCCACCGGGTGAGCACAGGGCGCGTCGCTTACCGGGAACGCCGTAGCATGGTGAGAGTTGTTTGTAGAGAGTTCATGAAGTTTCATGGGAATTTGGTACGAGTGATGTCCCCAGCATCGCTCGGCCTTTTGTTTGAGAGTGCAGCTCTAGCCTTTACACAACCAAGTGTGACCTACAAGGCAGTAGGAGTGGAGTAGGGAGTCCACTATCCATTGGCAGCCGGTGACCGGAGTTCGGTTCATACGCCTTTTTGAATGGGGCCAGACATCCAGGACATCCAACAAGCCCTTTGTCCATACGTCTGCCGGTGAGCTCCGGTGAGCTTCATACGCCAGTCGTTGGGGGTTTGGAATCAGGGTTTAGCCATCTCCCCTAGACTGTCATCCAATGGACAGCCCCCGGTGAAGAGCGCCGGGCATCCGCTTTTGCCCTCTCACTTCGGTGAAAAACACCTCCGCCACGTGAAGGCAGTGAGTAGGACTTCCTCAGGAGAGGCTATGTAAGACGCCCGGTCATATGGGAGCATTTCAAGAGGTGTGCGGAGGGGTGGCCAACCCGCAGCGCAAGGCACCCACCCCCGACCATACTGAGGCTTTGGGGAGTTTCTGCTTCAGAGCAACCTTTGAATTCTAGACTAAGCAGAAGCATTTTCTTCAGGACGGATTGGACTTGTTCAGAAGTCTTCTTTGATTTCAGATTCTTGTCTATGAACCTAGGTGGAAAACCGTTTTCCATCAAGGTTTCCCTGATTACGTCGTTCTTCGTCAGTCAAGACTGCTAGTCTGAGGGGGGTATCGGAGATAAATACAGAGTCCTTTGCCGACGAACGGACAACTATGATCGTCTTCAACAGTTCTTTTCCCAGTCAGCAAAAACTTGAGGCACAGAGATAAACATTGACCTCCATCATCAAATCAATGTCTGACTCAGGTCGACTACATAGCAATAGGCTATGGTTGGACGGGTTAGTCTGTCTGTCTGTCTGTTTTCGACATAGAACTTTTCACCGATGTACAGCAGTTCAAGTTGTCACACTCCATGCAGCACACAAAGCAAGAGAAAAAAGTAAAAAGAAATGCATAATAGAGACAGTAAACAGAGATGTGAAACAAAGGAATAGTAATAACGAAGAACAATATAGTTTCTTTGGAAATCATAGGTCACAAGGAGTGGATGCATCTGCGCTGTGCATTGAGAACGATTTTGAGCCATATCACCAATTGTTTCCAATCAATGGTTTTTACCGTCCCGATGACCCCAACCAGTCAGGAAGTCTACACCTTCCTACGTGGCTAGCTTAAACTAACTGTTGTAGATTTCATTGACTGGCGCCATGTTTTAGTTTGACCACCGCTAGCTCTTACCCAGCCTGACCGTATATCAGTTAAAATTGCCCGTTGAGGAAGGCGATGACTAGGCATGCGCAACACATGTCCTAACCATCTCAGTCGATGTAATTTCACAGCCTCTTATATATATATATATATATATATATATATTGAGCAATAGTTTTTGCTGAAAACGTCATCAGTTAATATTACTGTATAACACTGTGTGATTTATCAAAATAAAATCTTATCTATAGTGGAGTTATACTCTACCACAGTACCCAAGTTGTATACTTATATCAATGATTGATTTTTGTTTGCAAATGAACTCTATGCAAGTATGCTAAAATTATTTCTGTAGACATACTTAATAATGACTTTGGCCTGTGAGCAGCTGGTGAGAAGCTAACGAAATAAATGATGGTACCATTTCATTCCGCAAAACCTGTTGTTCTTGATTTATACAAAATTAACTACAAGATTTTTATGTTGATGTTCTGAAACTGTTAAGCTTAACGTCATTTTCGCCTCTACATTATCTATGGTAATTCAACACCACCACAAACTTTGGTTTATTTCATGGACAAAATATACATGATACTCATGTATGTAGTAATGTACCCACACGAATTTTTCAAAGAACCCGATTCCGAGCAAACAGACAATCCAAGTACATGTGAACCAAATACACCGATTATGTAAAACACTGATCAATCATACTAGTTCATGCTGAAAAAATGTGAAACTAGTTTACATTAGACTCTAAATCGAATGCACCTATTGATTTGTTTCAAGGTCATGTAGAGGATATACTTCATATATGAAATGGTATTTTGGATTGAGCAAAGAATTTTAAAAAATACGTTGTAATAATATGCATACAAAATTATCACTTTTTATACAGCTAACAATGAGAGTGTACGGTGCATTCGTGTGAACGGATGCCTATGCTTTCAGTGATCAATAATACTAATGAAGCAAAATTGTTAATTTTGCGAGTGTGAAAAGTCATATGTAAATTTGTAAACAAACTTCAAGGAGTGCATTAGGATTTGTTTCATCGACCCAAAAGTTTTTCAATTATTGATTAAAGCTAAAAATGGATTCACCTACTTAACATTTGTACACATTAAGCAACTAGTGAATTTAATGGAGATGCAAATACAGTGGAATGGAAGTAAAACAATTAAATTGCTCAATAACTGTGGGAATAAAGAAACAATGAAAACCAAAACACTTAGTTCAGAGAAGAGTCTCCTTTCAACAAATTCATTCACTTAGCTGTACAATCGCAAATACATGCACTTATTTTTCTATGTGTGTGTGTGTGTGTACATTAGGTTGGCCGATAAGAATAAAAATAAGTTAGGGTCATTATTGTATAGATATTTCAGAAATGTGGTGAGTAATCAATCTGTAACTAGGGTGGGTGCAGATTGGTAAGAGGGTAGTGGTGATGTGTTGTCGAAAAACAGTTATTAATGTTAATCAACACATAGAGTAAGTTGCATAAGCGTAATACAGTTACGTAACAAGATGAATAGTTTAATAAGTGAGTTGGAAAAACCAAAGTTATGCATACAAAAGAAAATCATCCAATCACTTCTACTACCATGGTAACAACCGTGTTGACTTCTACAGACCTGATGATCGCGTGCTTGTTATTTTCTAACTCCTTATAACATTTGTAGTTATTAGAACTCTTACGTAATTCCGAATTACTCTTTATTTCTATTTACATCCTGATCACAACTCACCCATTGAACTATTCATCTTGTTACGTAACTGTATTACGCTTATGCAACTTACTCTATGTGTTGATTAACATTAATAACTGTTTTTCGACAACACATCACCACTACCCTCTTACCAATCTGCACCCACCCCTAGTTACAGATTGATTACTCACCACATTTCTGAAATATCTATACAATAATGACCCTAACTTATTTTTATTCTTATCGGCCAACCTAATGTACACACACACACACACACATAGAAAAATAAGTACATATATTTGCCATTGTACAGCTAAGTGAATGAATTTGTTGAAAAGAGACTCTTCTCTAAACTGTTTTGTTTTCACCAATGTCTAGATGGAGATTATTCATGAATTCAAAAAGAGCAAGGACCCTTTGAGAGTCAAGGAACTCAATGGATTTCCTCGGTAGCGAGGAAATCACATACATCCTATTACAGAAATAAGACAAGTGAAGAAGTGAGCTATATCATAATGAAGAACTAGGTAAGGCGAACATGCATGCCAATTAGTCTGTGTCAGTTTCGTAGCACAAAAAGAAGACAAAAGAAAGAAAATTACTGTAATACGTAGATATGTCAGGCTCGGTAAGTGCAATGCGTGTCCTAGCCATCTTAATCGATTCACCATAACGACTTCATCGACTGACTGACTGACTTACCCTCATCACCTATCAATACACCTCTCTATAACCTCTATATTACTCAACATACTATATATACCACTTAACACACGAGACAAAACGAAAACATCTCTGGTGAAAGACAGCTACTCCTACCGCACCTTCCACTTCCAATAGACACATCTCATAATCATCAAGAATCACAGGGAGAAATACTAAGCAGTGCACGCGTTCTTCCATAGATAGTCAGCCGGATACCACGTCTACACCAGACATAAGGTGACTTCCCAAGTGTCGCGTGAGCCCTTTGTATCCGTTCCAAAATCTCGTCATTAATCAGTCCATTGGGGCTCATCCAACCACCCAAATAAGATGAGTGGTCGACACACCCTGCCACTTACATCCTTATTTATAAGCCACTGGTCGGTACATTTAAGAGAAGTGAATCGCAGGACCACCACACCATGCTTTCTGCCTTACGTATTCACAAGACCCTGCGCGTCTTACCATCACTCACCTAGATAGTCAATATCATCTACATACTCTACGTCGACCAGACTCTACTCTGGTTACAAGCCAACCATTCAGTCACCAAAGTCGATTAGTCTCATATCCGTCAGCAAATCAATCAGGAAATTAAACACAAATCGTGAAAATAGGCGTCTCTGATGGACACCATTGGTTATCATAATTTTACAGTGACAGCTCTCCAGAAGTTATCGTGTGTCTCTGTGGATTTAATTAAGGTGTCCTGGTTAGTGTGATTTACTTACTCAGAACTTTCTTCACGACCAGACATTGCTACAGCACCACTCAGGTCAAATGACGCCTTCAGGTCGACAAATATGGCGATTGTTGGACGCCAGTAAGTATGCCTGTTGAGACCTTAAGCCGATATGCCAAGTCCCACTAAAAAGAGAAGGGCACGTTTCGAATCCGCAACAGTTGAAAAATAGCTAATATCATGAAGAAACTAAGTTCCTGCAACTAGCGATATGAAGAAAGAAAACATTAGCATTGAATGGACAATTTAAACCCACAGTATGATTCAGTGATTGAAAGTATGCCGAAATACCACTCACCTGATTGGGTCACTGGCAAATGCCTATTAGCAGAAGCACATCTGAATGGAGTATGAGAATCAGACGAAATTAAAAACCCATTATTTACGTGATTTCTGCTAGGACGGCCGCTCCTGGAATAAGATGGAACAAAAAATAACATGTAAGTTTAGCATTAAATAGTGCTGAGAACACCAGCTGCGATCGAACAAAAAAAACTACTTCGGATTCTTATCACTAGCTGAATCTTCAGGAAAGTGTCTTTGTGAAGACAGCCAGGTAATTTTCAGCTGGTTTGAGTTCATCGATCATTCTCAAGTGAGTAAAACGGTCAATTGAAGTCTAGATTACTTTTATCTAACTAATGCTCACTACTGACTGTCGAGTGGTTTTATACTAGTCTGACTAATCAATGTGTTAAGAGCAGACTGTTTGATCACTTCTTTTTACATAAATATGGGTTCAGGAAAATTAAAGGGTTTGGATAACTAGCAAAAAGCTAATCTGCTAGCAAACCAAATTTTCTCTTTGAACTAAAATGACCGAAAATATTATAAAACTAAAAAAGGATAACTAACCTGTGTACAGCATTGCCTGACTGATGATATATTCGGTGGCTATTCGCCTCACGTGACGCTGGGCCTGGTGTGGAACATACAGCTTTGCATCCAGGCCATTTTTGCCGGTCTGAGCACGCAAAATCATTAGCAAATGTAATTCGAAGATCTCTGTTTTGCTTGCATGATACTACTCGAATCGTATCGGCTATGCTAGCCTCTGAGTCTGGTTTGAGGTGGCGGCGGTCATTGTGCATGACGTTCCCGAACAGATATTGCAAACTACTTAAATGGCAGCCAGTAAGACCTGGAGAGCCCTTTAAAATGGAAAAAGATGAGAAATTATACCAAAAGTCAACGCATTTGAAAATTGAGTGTAAAACCCCTATTAAAATCGCAAAATGCTTTTATAAGCATTCCGTTGGGATGAAAGCAAAAGAAAACAAAGGCTGAGTACAAACAAAAGACAACACTAATTTAAGCGATACAACATGAGATTTATCGAATGCAAACAAGTTAACTTGTTAGAGTATAAACAAAACCCTTTTTTTTACGGGTTAAAGTCACTACATCCCAGGCAAAGTTCTACAATAGCGTCCCAAAACAATCAACTGAGAGTATCACTTGCCAGTGACATTGACAGTGCTTGAATGTGCACTCGTGCAACATATGCATGCACCAACACGGTATCACCCTGAACATGATCCATCTACTCTAGACTTGGTATTGACACACCAGAAGGAGGACGTTGGTAACATTAGGTGCCTTCCGCCGCTTGGCAGCAGTGACCACATAGTCATTGCTTTTACGTTTAGGATTCATTCTCTCATGCACAGGCCAAAATCTGCTCGTCCAAACATTTGGAAAGCGGATATACAAGGAATCCGGAACGCAGCAACTGTGGTTGACTGGTCAGTTGATACAAGTCAGACTGTCGAGGAAGCTTGGGTAGGATTTAGGTATACACTAGATCGTGTCACTTCACCTTTTATACCTTGGTACACTCCTCGAAAGCCGTCGCATGAACCTCCTTGGATCACTAGTGAAATAAGGAGGTTATTAAGACGGCGAAAGAACTTATGGGACCAATTTGTTATGACAGGAAGGGAAAGCTTCCAGAAAGACTACCGCAAAACTCGAAACCTCTGAAAGTATGCGATTAACAAGAGTCGTATAGAGTACGAGAGACGATTAGTACTAGATTGCGTTCATTACCCAAAAAGGTTTTACTCGTATATTAAACGTAGGACTAAAACTAGCAGTGGTATACCGTCACTCATAACCATTAGTGGAGAAGCGGCTGAGTCAGACGAAGGAAAGGCTGAAAACCTCTCTGAATACTTCTGTGACGTCTTCTCGTCTGATAGTACCACCCAGGGATATGGCGAGGTCACTGCCATCGCCACTCAGATGCCCTCAATTGTGGTAGAGCACACAAAGGTTCTGAAACTACTGTCTAAACTGAAGCCAGGTAAATCACCTGGGCCGGATGGACTCCACCCTAAGTTGTTACTTTCCTTGGCGGACATAATATATATTCCGCTTACGGAGATTTTCCAAATGTCTCTGACGCAGGCTAAGCTACCCAGGGACTGGAAGGATGCCATTATAAGCCCTATCTTCAAGGACGGGGATAGGCAATTGGTATCTAACTACAGGCCGGTAAGTCTGACATGCATTATTGCAAAGGTATTGGAAACTTTTATAAGAGATCAACTATTAGCTTATGTTGAAACACATAGCTTGTTGGCTGTGGAACAGCATGGATTCCGACCAGGACGATCCTGCTTGACAAACCTACTTTTGGCTAGGGAAGACTGGGTTGAGGCCAGAGATAGGAACCATCTGTTGGACGTGGTTTTTATTGATCTTAGCAAGGCGTTCGACAAAGTATCCCACTTAGGTCTCCTTAGTAAACTTAAAGGTTTCGGACTAGACCAATGCCTATGTGAGTGGTTTAGAGATTACTTAATGGATAGAAGGCAGAAGGTTAGAGTTAACGGTGTACTATCAGGATGGAAAGCAGTATCCGGTAGAGTGCTCCAGCGAACTGTATTCGGTCCATTGCTATTCCTATTATACGTTAACGAATTACCAGGGATTCTTTCTTCATCTTCATTATTATTTGCAGATGACATTAAGATATGGAGAACTGTAAACAATAACGAGGATAGGTCGGCCCTACAAACTGATTTAGATAAATTAGCTGAGTGGTCAAGCCTATGGAGTTTGGAAATGAATGCTAGGAAAAGCGCGGTAATGCACTTAGGTCAGAAGTCTTATGCGTCGTACTCCCTAGGGGATGCAGAACTACCTGATGTTAACGAACAGAGGGACCTAGGAATCATTGTCAGCAATGATTTGAAAACAACTGCAAATTGCAATGCAGCCGCAGCTAAAGCTTTTCGAATGCTATGGGCAATTCGAAGGGCTTTCAAACGATTAGACAAGGGCATGTTCCAAATACTCTACGCAACATATATCAGGCCTCATCTAGAATACTGCATACAAGCGACGAGTCCATGCTTCAAAAAGGAGGCACATATTCTGGAAAGAGTACAGAGAGTAGGAACAAAATTAGTTAGTGGTATCTCACACCTTCCTTATGATAAGAGGATGGAGCATTTAAATCTCTTCCCGTTATCATACCGAAGGAGGAGAGGCGACTTAATTTTAGCATACCGTATACTTAAGGGTGATTTAGGAACTGACATTTCTAACCTTTTCTCCCCTTCTAGGATACATTTACGGGGTCACCGCAAAAAGGTGCTCAAACCAAGGACGATTAAAATACGTGCAGAATTTAGATTCTCTCACAGAGTGGTCAACGATTGGAACTCCTTACCTGATTCAGTAGTATCAGCTCCATCGGTGAACGCTTTCAAAGAGAAGTTAGATCTCTGCAGAGATATACTTTGCAAAGATTAACACAGGACACAAGAGCCTTCTAACCTTATCATCTGAATCTGAATCAGTACGAACACTTGTTCGCTTCCTACGCTGTGTACATATATATATATATATATATATATATATATATATATATATCCCTCATAGACCTAGGTATACAACTGCAGGTTCATAGAAGCACCAAAACTACATATCCGAGTACGTCCTGTTATCCATTATCTAGGCAGTATTGAAATATGTGCTCTGGCTGAGTTTGCATCTGAGAAGATGAACAGGGGGTCATTTTCGCGCTAGAATAATGGAATGGTTCCTCAACCAATGACTAGCAAGCGTTCAAGGTCATTCGAGCGTTCGCACTCCTGGGACGCTACTCTTGTACTTCGCCACATCTCATTTCGATTCACACATGATCAATATACAGGAACACCTGGAAGTTCGCATTAGGTCATCATATGCATGCCATCATCCTATTAGATCCATTCATTTATGACCATGACAAAGGCATTATATTTTATTCAGAAAATCTCAAACAAATTGGCAAAATTGTGTGCTCAGGCGACAAATCAAACAAAAGCAGGATTACTTGTTCAGGTGAGTACAGAACTACAATTTGAAATATTGAGTACTTCAAAATGCGCTAAGAACTTTTTTAAAAATATGAAAGATGCGACAATAAAAGTCATACTTATGTATTCCAGTTATTTCAACGCTGATTGTGATTATCTATTCACATCCTGCCAAGAAAGTACCTCAAGAAAAATCAGTACCACGTTACCTGTTTGAACGACGGGTACGTTGTCAAGGTCGAATGTTTACTAATAAAAACAGAAACAAACATCTTTGTGCTCATCAAGACTTAATAAACAAGATGTAAAACATCCAACAATATGAAGCTTAATATTTCCGTTGAATGCATTTTTGACGAAAATGCACCTAGAATAATACTTTATTCTCACATTTATGCGACTTCTAAGAGAACTACGGGACGAATCTGCAAAATATGTTTAATTTTTTTTATACCTCTGTGAGAAAAACCAATTTCTTCAGGATTCCATATAGTAACTTATCATCATCTAAGGTTTGTCCATGATAACTAATTTAATTTCACCTATGAAGCTGTACCAGAATACCATGTAATTAAACACGAAATTATACAACAGCAAAAGAATCAGTCCTTGGTTTGTACCACACATCTTAAAAACTAAGTTATCTTCGTTTTTCTCAAATTCAAAACAGACAAATCTTTAGATGGTCTCTCTCTGTAACAGGCTGTAACCCTGTAAATAAGTTCATGTGTTTAATTTCAATTAACATTGCTCGTGAGGCTTTTTCAGCCAACCTGAATTCAGTGGAGTATTCGTATCTACCGAGCTTTATGATATACTGTTGATTTTAGGCAGCACATCTGCTTCACTAGTTGTCTGGATATTATATGAGTCTAAACTTTGGATGTCTTCTTCTGAAGTAGATCTGGTGCTCCTTTTCACTTGACACGTAAGAAAAACTGTTGCAACCTTTCCTTTAGTTGAGGCTGACATTTTCCACTCTTACTTGCTTATCGTAAGTAATAGAGACATTGTGGAAAATTTTATTACAGCGCGACACCTTATAAACAAACTAATATGGAATTACAGGTCGAGACTTTTGACGACTCGATCGTTGATGGTCTAGTTATGAAAAGTTACTGGAGAGTTCCTAACTAAAATGAAACAGCTGTGCGGTTCACCCTTGTATTTACCAGTTATCTAAATAATATCGCTCAATGCCTTAACTTGAGCACAATCAGATTAATACAAACCAAAACTTGAAAGTAAGAATTTATTCTCTATAAAAGATGCTGTGACTCACAACTGAGAAAGTTCCCATGATGAAAAAAGGCTTAGATGTGAAACAGAAGAATTTGGGAAAACTCTGCTGAAAGGTGTAATCCCACTCGTCAAGCAATGATCTGAAACAGAGAGCAAAGCGCACGTTAGTAGTGTGATCACTCAAGTGTTGCATGCTAATAAGAACGAAAACTCAATGTCAAGTGTTATATTTACAACCAATCGCAATACAATTAGATAAGAGGGAAGGGCACTCCTATTTGTCATCTGTTGCCTCGTCTTGGCTAACCAATCCCTGCACAATTCGTAGCCAACCTGAAAGTAGACAAGCATAGTTTTAACATTAGAAAACCGCCGAACATACCATGCCTTACAAAGGTATTTTCTGAAGTACCCCAATGTGAAAACCGTAAATAATAGCAGGATTAAACAAAAACCAGGCCGAAATTTAAGTCACGAATGGATAAAATGTGACAACTGCCGTTTATATATTTACAGCTTATATTCGTTAACCAATCATTGAGTGTGCGGTTTAGGCGTGTGTCAAACGACAAGAAATGTAATGTACAAATATATTCAGTATTCTTTTGCGAATGCAGTATATAACAGTAAAAAAGTATTCTGATTCTAAAAGGAAATAGAATGTCCAAATAGATATATCGTATTCTCTTTTTAATGCTGAATGGAACATTGGGAGCACGTAAGAATACAATTCCGTTGGTGCAGATTGTCTCTATCACACCACAACAAAATTTTTGCCTCACCGCTACAACAATGGAGGCAGAATGTCCTTTGCGGACTGAAGAAAAGCCGAAAAATTTCAGAGTTTACCATATCCTAACCATGAAAAACTGATAATTGAAACTGATATTAAGATGAATTTACTGATAAATAATTGTCATTGAGGAAGCTCAACAAAATTGCACAGAACTTCTGTCAATATAGGTGAAGATTGAACGACCAATTCATGGTTGTCTGCTCAAACCCAACTTCCCTATATTTTCGCGGAGACTTTGATACAGCAGTCATCGTCTCATCGGTCGCTGTTCAGAAAGAAGTCAGGCCAAAACTATCAGAAGTAATATTGTGATTTATTATTGTAATATTTGTTCATAGACCTTAGTTAAAGCTTAATTTTAAGGTTGGCTATATACTGGTGTTACAATAAAGAATTCTCTAGTAGCCAATCGGTGTTTTGGTTTTTGCGTCCGTTATTACTAAGCGTTTCTGAGAAACTTCAAGGAACAGCGTGAGCCCCAGCGTAGCAAGGGCTGGGTATTGACGGTTTACGAGACGTGGCCTACAATACCTTTTGTGAAAATTAATCGCCGAAATATAAATTATATATATATATTTTTATTTATTGCATTGTGAATTATTTTTCTCTTGCTGCTGTTGTTCTTTTTTCCGGTTTTATGTGGAGCAACCCTCAAGTTCGCTTCTTTCCTAACTCTATCTTAATGTAGAGTAAACAAAATTGCTACAGAAACTTTAGCACGATGAATCTCCTGGCGCCAAAAAAATCTGTGTGAGGACAGGGAACTTCCGCAATATGCACGAGATTTGCAAAGATTCTCAGATGGCAAACGAAATGAAACGATACGGAATTGATGTACTGGGGATATGTGAAAGCAGATGGAACGGGAATGAACTCACCAAATTCCCAACGGGTGGGTCAGTGATCTACTCCGGTCAGCCAGAAGATAACCACACACACAACGAGGGCGCGGATATCATGATATCACCAAGCAAGCGTCTACTTTTCTAACACGTTCAAACACTGTTCAATTTTGGCTTTCCGACATGCTAATAAGTTGTTGTCATAATGAACTGAGATTTACTCAATTAATTTAGAATTTTCTTCATTGATAATAAATAAATAAATAAATTTATTCTCATGATACAGTACATGAGGGACGCCAGTTTACAGGCATCATCAAATTGTTACAGAAATAGGACCATATTATTCAGTCACAATTTACAGTCGATAGCAAAATATGTTTAACATGTACACTGGAGATTATACATACACTTGATAAATGTTAATCCCAATAGTATAAAACATCCTTTTCACTTATGTACAATCATTTCTGTGCATAGTTGGAAAAATCCGCTAGATTGTCAGTGAGTGCAACACATCAGGAAATACAGAAGTATTGTCTTCGCATTAACAAAAAAACCAGGTCTTTGGTGGATGGGTTATAAGTGCCTGGGAAAAAAAATAAAGCTTGAAGTCAGTTTTCATACATGATTTTGTTGTGTACAGAATCCTTGAATTATAGTTCATTGATGTGTTATTTTGAAATCAGTGATATGTTTATCTCATTTGATCTGCAATGTCATTGTTGGGAGTAAAATACATAAGCTTTAGACGCATTAATTAATGGATTTCTACTGCTTGTGGGTATTTACTTCTCGTGAGGAAGGTTTTTGAATTTTAGTTGTTCCGACAGGAGTTGTGGATATTGACTGCTCAGCAACATTACGGATATAAGTTCATCACATTATCTTAGGAATGTTGGGTTGTAGTTGGTGAGGCATATATGATGTCCGACGAGCGTACATCTGTCCATGTGATGTTGTGGTGAGTTATATCTTTTTCATGTTGTCGGTTTATGTCCATTTTATTCCACTTATTGTGTTGGGTAGAAGTTTTACAAACGAAACTTCTTGTCTGTTTGAGGGTAAGTATCTTAATCGTTAATGTTTTATCTAAAATTATAAATATAGGCAAAAACAACAGGTGTAGTATTTAAGCTTATACATTAAATGGACCTATAATTTCGGAGGCTCTCAGATAGGAACTAGGACTACTGTCGTTTGCAAACTCGTGTAGTTTGTCGTTAAGCACTTTTTTGAATGAGGCCAATGTACCTGCTTGACGCATTTCCATTGGTAGTTTATTCCATATCTGTGCATACCTAATCAAATAAAACTTTTGCCTGGTAGCTGTTTTACATTGTTCGATAGCTACTGTACCCTTAGTGTGTCTTAGTTTGTAGCCACTGTCATCTGAAAGTCGAATGCCATTAGTAGAGGTAAAAACTAAGTGGTTTAGAAGCTTATAGTAAAGTGTTAAGTTTAGTCTCAGGCGTCTTAGCCATAGTGTTTCTAATCCTAGGGTGTCACATCTAGTGGAGTAGTTCGCACCATTTTCGGTTCCGAGTAATTTTGACGTGAAGTACCTCTGCACTCCCTCGACTTTCAATTTGTCCTCTATGCGTATACTACTATACATGAATGAACAGTAATCAAATAAAGGACGCACACAAACCTTGTACAACAGAATTCTGGACTCATTTCTGTAAAAGTTCCTGAGTAGAAAGCCGATAAGTCTGCGTGACTTTGACACTTGTTTGGAGATATGTTCAGAAAATGATAAGTCATGTGAGTATTTCAGTCCTAGGTCCAATACAGATTCCAGTCGTAAGAGTGCATGGCCTTGAATTGTCAGGTCAAGTTCTAAATTGTTGCAACCTATGCAGAGCCAGCCACATTTGTCGACATTAAACTGGAGTTGCCAGGTGTCACACCATCTGTCCATTTTTTCTAATTCTTGCTGTATGGCGTTTACTGTTATTCCGAGATCTGTGTTCTTGCATTTATAGGTCACTTTTAAGTCATCTGCATATAGTATTGGTTTACCAACACTAAAGCATTCACAGATACTGTTTATATATATTATGAATAGGAGTGGGCCTAATACACTTCCCTGGATTACACCACTACTTACAGGTTTAGGCCTTGAGATTATCGAGCCAACTTTTGTTATCTGATTCCTGTCACAGAGAAATGATTTTATCCAGCTCAGGAGAGGGTCACATATCCCTAGTGAGCATAACCTGCTGACTAGCAGATTATGGGGGACTCTATCGAAGGCTTTTGTTATATCGAAATATAGCACAATTACTAGTTCTCTGTTGTCCCTGCTTCGTGTAACTTCATTGAAAAAGTCTATGTGACAGGTCGCACATGATCT